GGGAACGGACCCGTGCTGGGTGGAAGGTGGGTCCCCGAGCACCTACGGGGCCTTGGCGGCTGGGAGGAAGGGGAGGAGAGGCTGCGGGCGGGGCGGATCCAGGCAGGGAGGAGGCGGGGCGAGGAGAGATGCGGAGACAGAGACGCTCGGCAACCCAGGAACTACTCCGCCGGGAAACAAAGGGCTGCGGCGGGGGAGGGAGAGGGCGCTGAGACCGCGAGGAAGACGCGACCCGGGCGGAGACTGGAGAGGGCGCAGGTGTCGAGGAAGCCGGAGAGAGAGAGGCAGAGGGAGGACGGAGAGGACAGGAAAATGGGGAGACCCTGGGAGACAGAAGAGGCGCGGGAACAAGCGGCAGACGGGGGAGGGGTCCCAGGCGACAGCAGTGCGGGTCTGGGCCCGTGCGTCCCGGAGGCTCCGAAGCAGACCCCGCAGTAGTCCCGGGGAGGAATGGGCTTAGTGCCCCCAGGCTAATGCCAGGACGGCAACTCCTGCCCCAACAGGTGCCCGGCCCCCTCAGTACGGGAACGCTGCGGCAAAGGCGGTGTTGCCTAGCCCTTGAGAAGGGGGGAACTTTCCGTGAGCTGGGTAGGCCTCCCCACACCTGTTGCACACATAGATTTCGTCTTAGTCCGGCCAGGATGGGGGTTCCGTTCCCCACTTCCCTGCCAAGGGTCGTGCCAGACAGTGCCAAGGCATCCGTGGGAACTGGGTCAGAAAGGGGCTGTTTCTAGGTGAGCTTAAAGGGAGGGGAGAGAAACCAGAGGGTGGTGGTAGGGGATAGTTGTGGGTGGGATCCTGGCTACACTGGGGTTGGGAGAGGAAAGGGCCAGTCTCCTCAGAGTCACTAGGGTAAGGCCAGATTCTCCCCTCAGCAGAAGGGCTTGTACCACTCTGCACCACTCAGTCTCCTTCACAGGAACACTGAGATTTGAGGTAAGAGAGCCGCAGCCCTTATATTGAGGAAACTTTCCCCAAAGATCCACCCATTTGAGCTCTCTCCTTTTTTCATCTCCTGAGCAAAATTCCTTCTTTGATTTTTGACTGCCTACCTTTGTGCCCCACAAGGAGGACGTCCATAGACAGGGGTACACTTGGAGGCCTCCTGGTGCCCATGCCCTTGGCCCTGAGCTCAGTCCTTTTCCTTTCCCAATTTCTCACACCCGGGAGTTCAGCAATCTGCTCATCCCTCCTAGGCTTGAGGAGAATCAGACATCCAAAACTCTGACATAGCTTAGTAAGATCTGTGGTAGAAGGCACTGTGCATGGGAGAGAGAAAGCCCACCGAAACCAAGTGGCTTCCCACCTGGGTCACTTATCGGTGTTATCTTAGCAAGAAAAAGAAGAGGCTTCATCTTCAGACTGACATCTTTAGTCTGTCTACTGTGGGTGGCCCAGAGCAGCCCTGCCCAGCACCTTCCTCATGCTGGGTTTGACAAACAACTTTGTTACAGCCCCTGTGGCTGAAGGGACGTCGCTATTGGGGGAGGCAGTCAGCTTTCACAGTTGCCTCTCCTGAGTCCAGCACCAATTGGGGTTTGGTCATATACTGGATTCGTATTGGAAGTTCCTACACTGCCCACTTTTGTGCCCTCACCCAGTTACTCAGTATTCCTTGTATCCCCCTCTTTCATCCTTTTCAATTCCTTCTGTCTTTCAGGGGCCGAGAGAGGTGTCAGAGAGTAAGACCCTCAAGGTGCTTTTCTCCTGGGAGATGGTTCTAATGAAGAAAGCAGTGGTGGAGGCAGCTGCTTCTCTTCCCATCCCTGCATCCACTCTCTTGGCCTCTCCTTTTGGGACTCTCCCACCCACAGAAGGTCCTGGGGCTGTAGGTAACAGCGGATCTGCCATGGGCAGCACTCCTTCCTCACACTCCTTGTAATCTCCTGCGACAAGGTTGTCTAAGTCTGCTCCTGAGGCATGTGTTGCCATGCCAACCATCCCCAGGAGATGGGTTCAAGTTCCTCATACCTGGCCCTTCCCCTGGATCCTGCAGGAGCTTCAGAACTTCCCTCCTTCTCCTCATATCTCTGGGTTGCTACCCAATGCCCCTTTCCTTTCTCATCTCACCCACACCTGCCTACTCCAGTTGTAATGCCAACTTGGTGACTTCTTGTCCTGTGACACGACATGTGCCTGTCAGTATCCATGTAGCCCTAACCTCTTTTCTTTTTCATGGCTGGGCATAAAGGGAGAGAGCTGAGGGCAATAAAGGATCAGGGGAGAGTCTCCTCCTGCTGATTCTTTCTAGGAGAGAGTTGTTAGACTGGCAGCTGGCAGGTACCCAAGTCATGGAAGCAAGACATAAGAGGAAAACCCTGAATAATCAGGTTTGGGAGCTGGAGTTCTTGGGAGGTTTCAGAATATATTCTAGCTTCTCCTGTAAGTGCACCAGGAAGCTGGGCAGATCCCTGTCCCTGGGCACTGAATGGGGAAACTGAGGCAGAAGCTAGGCCTTCTGGGAAGACTTAAAGACTCCTCTCCAGCAGTTTTTAAGATCTGGACCAGATAGAGGCCCCTACCATTCTGGCTGCTAGGCTGCCAGGGAACTCGGGGACAGGCACTAGGGGAGCTTGGCAGAGCCCTTCTTGTAATCTAGACCCTTTTTTCTGGCTTCCCGGTCAGTCCTCTCCTCCCATCCAATCCCAGTACTAGGAAGCTGCCAGCTCTGGCCGCTCCCTCCTCTCTAACCCGGTGCCTCTTCTACCCCTGGTTTCACTTCGTCCGGTTTCCCTCCCTCCCCATCGGTGCAGTCTCACCCAAACGCGTGCCCCCTTCCTAGCTTGGAGCGGAGCTCTCCTCCCATCCAGTGGGGAACCCCCCTCCCCCGA